GCCTCGGGATGATATGGGGTTCACGGGCTACGACGATAACCTGACTGAGATCAGGTCTGGTAACAAGACAAACGTGGGTGAGTTTCCTATGCAGCTCGAATTAGCAAGTTGATGGGTATCACTAACGCCAGAGACATACCTCCGGAGACCAAGAAGAAAGACCCCTGATTGCATACACATCGAGACTCACATAACATACAGCGGAATCAGCGCGCAGTGTTTCAGCTTCAGATATTCCGATACCCCTAGATGGATACTGGAAAAATAAACTCCGACTCCATTTGCGGTCCTTCGGACTCTCCTGATTCTCCACTCCCGCCCAAGCACAACATATTCCCCACGTGTGTGTGTGTCTAAGTTTGGGGGCAACGTGGGTAAGAAAAAGCGAAGAGAAACAAGTATGAGGCGACGACAAGCGGGCGTAGGGATTGGGGCTTTGGATTTCCGCTATTCCAGGTTCTCGGCACCAGGGCTACTATTAGATACTTCTCGTCTAGTTCCATGTGGTAAAGTGAGCAGGTGAGACATGTCGAACATGAACTTATCAAATCACTTTCTGAGAAATGAAGTGTGTCGAGATGTCGAAAGTGGTGCGACTGAGGCAAAAGAGGGATTCCCTATCGCCATCGCCTCGATTACCTATCCATTCAACCGTCCAGAGAAACCTAGAGTTTGGAATCAGAGAGTCCCTTCATAAAATCTAGCCAAAATCGATTTTCAGGGTCCTGGCCCAAAGACTCAACCACAGTGAACTGACTGATTGAACTTGGTATCTCTTGAACCAGGGAAACCCTTGAAGTCGAATGATAAGTAAGGAGAACTTGTTTCTTTTTCCAGGTTCCCGTTTTTAGGATTTTTGCTTGGCTTCACAGTTCCTGATGGTTGGTGCGATGGGTAGGTAGGTACCTTACCTTTAGTTCCATGTAGGTGGATAATGTCTTTCTTACCTAGTTCCATGTAGGTGGTAAGTCTCTTTGCTTTTCTCAGCTTGTCAAGTCGACATATGTACGCGGTATGTACATGTGTATGCAGGCAGGGACAGGCCTTCTTACAACAACCTGCCTACCTACCTGCCCGCGTTACATGTGCACAAAATACACTAGATACAAGGTTATTTCACTAGTCTGATGTCTCACGTTATTTCCACCCCTCCTTTCGTCTATTTAGACAATGAAAATAGTTTACTAAGTAAAAATTACGTACGTTTGGCTAAAATGTGCTGCGAAGTAGGTAAAGTTGGAGCATCGCCAAGACGGGGAAGATATGGGCGAGCTGAAAACGGGGAAACCCACACAAAGGTGCGAACGACAACATCTCATTCATTCGTCCATTTCAAGCATTCAACTATGGTTTGAGATTCATTATCAATCAATATGTAAGTGATAGTTGAAAAGTGGCAGTGAAATATTGGGGAAAAAATGCGAGCACGCGCACACACCTAACAATTTCGTTCTGATACTGCATATGCAAGCACCGTGCTTGTACTATTACTCACTTCTCCCATATCTGACAGCACTGTGGAAGTGTTTTTAAACAAGGCTGACTATCTGCCATTCAGTCAGACACATGCAACGGCGAACGACCAAACGAGCGAACGAGCGAGCGAGCGAACAGACGAAGCGAAAAGCAAACATCTTTGATATCAAACTTGACCTTTCCCCTCTTCGTTCCCTCCTCCTCCTCCCCTCCTGCCCAGACAAGCCAGTGTTTCCCAAATCCTTTGCCTCCAAACGGATTTTTCCTGTCTCATTCAGACAGTTACTTCTATCCCATCCGGTTCCCCGCTCGTATACAACATAGAGGTACTTTCCCCCGTCCGATGACCCGATTTGACTCGACGCCGCCCGCTGTTCCGGATGTCACTTGCCGGCCCCGCTTTCCCTCGTTTGGACGAGGATCAAGTGCCGTCCATCCCTTGCTTTCAAGTCTTTTAAACTATTATTTTTGCCTATTTTCTGACTTGTATCTAAAGTATCACAAGTTCAGGCACTATGCTGGCTTGGTCATGTACATAGGTACTGTGCTGCGCTGCGCTGTAGTTTCACGCACAAGTTTCACGCATACATATATGGCTGTGTTGACGTATGCAGGTAATATGTCGTGTACCCAGTAGTTCTCGTGTAAAAAGCATTGGAATGCAGGAGGTAGCTACCTGTCTAGTGTATCAGCGAAGAAAAAAGTGATAACCATCTGCCTGGGTGGTGCCTGGCAGGATCCTGGAAACACAATACGGGGCGAAAATCGTAAAGTCGTGCATGCATCTGATATGCGCGGATCATGATGCCGAGGTAGATAGTCGATCTATCATTTATCTATGAGATGAGGGGACAGAGGGGATAGATGGATGATACACATCCCGTGCATGAGCTGAATTGGGGCTCAGCTAGCTAGTCCAGTTACTGTGTAGTTTAACCCATCTACTAGTCTAGCTACCTACATAGTATCGCTAACTCACTAACGAGGATTTGATTCTCAGGGTCGAGCAAACACCAATCTCTCCTCAGCCGGTCCGTTCGGTCGGCTAACCCGGACCGCGGCTGACTTACCGGTAGGCATCAATAGACACGGTCTACCCTACCCGACTCGGCAAGTCTCTCCCGGTACATCCCCGGCTTCCCCCGGGATATCGGGTGATCTGTGATCTAGGTGCATAAGATCTCGATAGACGGCCTGAACCAGCTGATCTTCTCTCTTTGATAGGACGGGTTAAATAGGGGGCTTATTTAGGAGGGCAACTCAACTAGGTAGGTGATATGTGATGTGCGTGTGGGGGGCCTGGATAGGGGTCTGATGGGGGTGTTAGGGGGCAGTGAGAGAGAGAGGGGGGGAGGGCTTAGGGCTTTGGAGTTGGAGTTAGGAAGGGGTGTTGATACCCGTGCACTCGAAGAGCAAACATGCAAACAACTTCCGGCGGTATTGTGTCAGGTCGGCATATGTTTGTTGCTGAGCGAGTCTGGCAGGTGATAGATCACGGGGTTTTGTTTGTGCTGTTCAGGAGGCTCAAAGTCTGAATTTCAAGGGGATGGGGTCATCACCTGATGCTCTCTCTGTGAACATGGGGTTGAGAGTATCCGTGAGGCTGTGTCAGGTGAGTTGGCCGTGTGAAATGCGTAGTGTCTATGGCTCGAGCATTCGTTGAGGGGATGGCTGCCAGTCTGCCACTGTCGAGAGATGTGATAGTGTCATTGGAGTTAGCATTGAGCGAAGAGTATCCTCGTCAACTCAACCATGCCTGAAGAACCCGTTGCCTAACGTGAGAACGTGAGAACGTGATAGACTTTCAACACACAAACTAACGGGCGTCGACACTTGACAACTCTCCATCCCACATCACCCAGAGTAAGCATGCAGATGCTTAAAAATCCCGTATTCCAGTCTGAAGAATGAGACAGAGGTTGGAATGCCACGTTAGTGTAATTGCAAATCCTAAATCAGACAAATGGTCTGGAAAGAGGAAGAAGCGAAGTGAACTGAAGCGGTCCGTCCCGTTCTGGAACCCCATCGACTATGACGATCGGCAGCGGAATGAAACCCAAAGATTGCCCGACGACGACGTTATTGTTGTTGACAACATGGGTGTCGGTCATCATAGCCGATGGATGCTCTCGCTCAAACGTTTCTGGTTAACCTTCTTAATATTGCTTCTACACCTCCGAGGAGGTAATGCTCCGAGGGAGTGTTGGCCCAGACACAATTGGAAAGAGTGACAACGGAATGGGCTGGCTGATTTTTTTGAGGGGGAAATGAAGACCGTTGATCTTCTCTTGCGTAGCAAGTTAGAGAGACGTATGTACTCCGTGTTGAAGGACGGTACCTTTGTTGATGTCTAACGAGCTTGAGTCCAGTTCCCTCCAGCATTCTGAAAAGACCATCGCAACGTCGGTCTGACTACTACACTATTGAGGCGCTGTCGGTCCGTTGTTGAGTTGGGCATGAAGATATCGTGGGGTCTGGTGCTGATCTTCACCACGGGTGATCGATATTTCATTCGTATCCTTCTCGACTCAGCCTAATCCGACGCTGATGACCTGAGTTGGGGGTTAAATTGGGGGCCGATTCGGCCGGTAAAATGAGGCTAACGTAACCGGTGAGTGACGCGAAAGGTGGTGTCTGTTGATCTGGACGAAACTTTGAAGAAGTCAACAGTAACCGCAATAACTCAATCAAGCCCCTTTGGGCGTATGGTACGGAGGAGTGACGAAAAGGACAGTATGTGTATGGTTGTCGTCTGGTAAGAATGCATCAGGATTGTTCGACTTGACTGCCAAGTAGAAGCACCTGACCTAGCAAGATCAACTTCTTTGGGTATACTGAAAAAGTTATCATGGTTTCAAGCATTCAACCTGCTGGTGCTTCCGAAGGTCGATGATGTGACTTTCCCGGTCATGAGTAGCAGTGTTTTGCATTCAATGACTTTTGGATAGATTGATGTCGAATGTGCATATTCAGAGCGTCGCAGATTTTCGCTGATACTTGATTTCGAATGCCAGAAACTCCACAGATTGTGAACGCGAAAGCTGTCGCTGCAAAAGATCATACCGACATATTGCATCTGGACGATGACAACCAGCGTACGCCACACAGGCCGGAAATCGCAGCAGCAAAAAGATTGCAAAAAAAAAAAAAAAAAAAAAAAAAAGTGTCGGTTCAGGTGAAGCAATCCAGTAGCACACCGTCCGGGGTCGAAACCACGCTCTCTCTGATAGCCGGCGATGGACTGACCGCTATACCAACTACCTCCTGAGGTGGACGTTACTGCTAGACCCCTCCCGGCCCCCGACGGTAAGCGGGACAAGAAAGGTCACTTATATGGGCAGATCCAGTGACGACCGTCCCTGAAGCTTCTGTGCGCTGAACATAGGGATTGGGAAGGTGCAGTTCGGATGAAATATAGGTGTGGCGGGATGATGTTGTGAGCCGATCAGGCTGGAGGGTTGTGCTGTGTCGCGGACAGCATGCACTCGCCGTGTTCATGTTTAACGTCACTTCAGGTCCAGGAACACAACTGAGCCACATTTCTCAAATATCAGAGTACTACTCATCGCGGTGTAGAAACTGACCTTTTGATGACGGTCAGTCATTATCATGAAGGAAACAAAGGGGACGGGTACCAACTGCATATATAATCGCTCCGCTGTCTATCAAACCCCCAACCGTCATCACTTGGTGCACTAACCACCGTGAAGCGTAGAGATAAAGAGGATATTGTCTCCTGGCTGAAGCACATAGGCATCTTCCTCTTCCAGCTCCCAGTCACTGTCGTTGATTAGACACAAGATACCCGGGCGGCTATTTGGTTAAGGTCTGTTAGTAAATGCTTTACCAGCACACCGAGACAAAACACGACTCACAGTTCACCACCAAGCACAAAGAGATCAGCGCGTGGGTCGGCCATGAGCGTCTGACAAAGATAGTTGATGAGAAAGCCGACGTTTGCTGGCTTGCCTTGGGCGTCATGGGCTGGTACTGAGAGAGCATGATGTTTCTGGTTGGAGAAGAGAATTTCGAGGCCGCCACTGGACGAGAGATAATGAACGTGTTAGTGAGACGGGTCAAGCTCATCGAAGTCAGGAAGAAACTCACGAAAAATCGACCGTGATGTCGATCGTTTGATCTTTTTGGTCCGACATAGTGATATGTCCAAAATCGAAGTGTGATACAAAGCAAACGTCTATGGAGTTGTACGGATGAGGTTGAAGAAATTCAGATTAAATTGTGTAGTTCGTGTCCAAGAAAGGGATATTTGGGCCGAGCTGACAGCTAGTTATATAGGCTTTGATTGGGCAATTGCTGCAACTGCCCTGTTTTTGGAAACTAATTGCATAAACTGGGAAAGAAGCTGCTGTGTTAAGTCGTGCAGTCAACGATTGCAGTGGAGTCATTTCAGGCCCAAGCAAGGGCCTAAAAAACTCCAAGCTGGGGCACTGCAGCCAATCATGACGACCCCTCTGACAGCGACTTCTTGAACTACAATTCACGACTTCCCATCACTCACTGCCTGTTTACTAGTGAGTGTGATCTGGAAATTGGGGTCAAAATCAAAGAGACAAATATCATGACGGAAACAGCGATTGATCCTCGCTATCTTTCGGCCGGCGCAAACAGGTACGCCGCTGCCGCCGACTGGGCAGAGAATGGCCTGGTGGCATTTGGCGCGGACATCAACGTCTGCCTCTGGAACCCTTCGGTATGACCGCAACATGACTTTTCACTCAACTGAGATTCCTTGCTAATTGCTACCCCAGAACACTGTTGGTATCTCCCAGATTTTGAGCGGCCATACAGCTCATGTACGGGCCGTCAAGTTTCTTCCTAGGTTGCAAGATGAAAAGTCAACATACCTAGTAAGCGGAGGCGACGACCAAAGCCTTCGGGTCTGGGCCCTTGATAGCGAGACCGGTACCGCAACATGTGTCCAGACCCTACAGGAGCACACGGCCCCTATCAACTACCTCGCAGCTCTCAAGATTTCCGTTGGCAGCACTAAGCGTCGGATTTTTGTTTCGGGCGCGGCAGACTCTACCGTCAAGGTCTGGTCTGTGGATGTCTCATCCGGCCAAACCACCCTTCTTCAAACCATCAAGACTGCTAAGAAGTACTTCCCATTGGCCCTTGCCTTGAGCCCCCTAAACGACGAGGGAACTTCTCTCATTCTGGCCGTTGCCGGGACCACAAACATCATCCAGGTCTTCACTGCCTCGACAGTAGACGACACCCAGCTCGAATTCACCCCTCAAGCCACCCTCCCAGGCCACGAGAACTGGATCCGATCTCTTGATTTCATCCGCGAAAAGCCAAAGTCCGAAGCCGAGAGCGACATTCTTCTCGCCTCAGCCAGCCAGGACAAGTACATCAGGATATGGCGTATTCACCAAGGCAGTGCCCTGTCTATGCCGACCTCGGCCGCCTCAGATGCTTCGGCTGCTGCCGCTGCTTTGACTCCTGGCCCAGCAAACAAGATCCACAAGATCAAGGTCGAGGGAGCTGACCCCGCTACCAACAAGTACTGCATCACGTTCGAGGCTCTGCTCCTTGGTCACGAAGACTGGATCTACACCGCGCGCTGGTGCCGCTCTCCTACCTCCACCACCTCCGACAGCGGCGAGGGTACCCTCCAGCTCCTCTCCGCTTCAGCAGACAACTCGCTCTCCATCTGGGAGTCCGATCCGGAGTCCGGCATCTGGATCACCGTCGCCCGTCTCGGCGAGGTCAGTCGTGAAAAGGGCGCCACGACGGCAACCGGCAGTATCGGTGGCTTCTGGACCGGCATGTGGTCGCCCTCCGGCACCACCGTCATCACCCTCGGGCGCACCGGCAGCTGGCGTCGCTGGGACTGGGACAGCAATGACCAAGCCTGGAAGCAGAACTTTGCCGTATCCGGGCACACCCGAGCCGTGACCGGCATTTCGTGGTCCCGCAACGGCGTCTACCTCCTTTCCACTAGCTCCGACCAAACCACCCGCCTGCACGCCGAATGGGCCACCAACCCTTCCTTAACCACCTATCCCAGCAAGCGTACCTGGCACGAGATGGCCCGCCCCCAAATCCACGGCTATGACCTCAACTGCATCGACTCCCTGTCCTCGACCTCTTTTGTCTCCGGCGCCGACGAGAAGCTCATGCGTGTCTTCACCGAGCCCAAAGCCGTCGCCCGCATGCTCAACCGGCTGACGGGCACCTCTTCCGCTCTCTCCTCCGCCGATTTTGACTCACTACCCGCCGACGCCGCCAACATCCCCGTGCTCGGCCTCTCCAACAAGGCCATCGACGTGATCGACGACGACGCCGACGCCTCAGCTGCTGCCGGCGGTAATCCCGACGGCGGACGCGGTGGCGACGTCACGATGCAAGACCGCGAGAACATGCTCGACCCAGCGAGTATGCTGCGCAAGTCCGCGTTGGAAATCGACCACCCTCCTTTCGAAGAAAGTCTTAGTCGACACACGCTCTGGCCTGAGGTAGAGAAGTTGTATGGACACGGTTACGAGATCTCCTGTCTTGCCGTCTCCCATCCTTCTTCATCTGACCAACAAGAAAAAGAAACCCACCTCATCGCCTCAGCCTGCCGCGCCGCCTCCCTCAACCACGCAGTCATCCGCCTCTTCGAAACCGACAAGTGGACCGAACTCCGTCCTCCGCTCAAGGCGCACACCTCCACCATTCACCGCCTGCGCTTCTCTTCCGACAACACGTACTTGCTGTCTGTAGGCAAAGATCGACAATGGGCCGTCTTCCAGCGCGATCCCCAATCCAGCGCAGGATACACGCTCCTGCAGTTGAACCCCAAGGGTCATAGCCGCATGATATTGGATGCGGCGTGGGCGCCCAAGAGCTCGTCATCCTCCTCTGTCGACGTGTTCGCGACGGCCGGTAGGGATAAAGCGGTCAAGGTCTGGGTTAGGAAGTCTTCTCAACAACAACAACAACAACAACAACAGCAAAAACTTGAAGAAGGGGAAGAAAACTTGGAGAAGGAAAAGAAGGAAGAAGAGGAATTTACTTTGGGTTTGTCTCTGACGGAAGACCAACCCGTTACGGCGCTGGATTTTGCTTCTGAGCCTTATGCTTCGTCGGAAGCAGACGGAAGCGTGAGCAACACGTACCTGCTGGCCGTGGGAACAGAGAGCGGCAAGCTATCGGTGCTGGCGATCAAGATTAGCGGGGATGGCTCGGAAGTGAGCGTGGCGCAGACGTATAAGGTGGGAGAGCAGTTGTGGTTGCCCAAGGCGGTGATGCAACTTGCATGGAGGCCGAGGGTGAGAAAGGGTGGTGAGGGTGAGGACGACACAAGTGGGAAGCAGGCGAGGGAGCTGGCTATTGCTGGGGAGGATGGGTCTTTGAGGATATACGACTTTTCTTTGTAAGGTTTGGGCACGCGAAAAGGAAGTGTAGACCAAAATATCATTGATATCATCTTGGTTCATGGTTTGTAGAAATAGACCATGAGTGAGTGTACGAAATGATTAACTACTCAAAATGTGCCTGGCTGCACAATATCTCCCACATAGCCTTGGATGCTGACTGACTTTGGATGTTGAAGAGATGTTGACAAGGTAACTAGTAACCAACCTGCTGTTGTGACACCCATCGAGCCATCAAAGATCATCTGTTCATAAATACTTGTTGATCATGTATCTGCTATTATCAGACTACCTCAGCCGGGGCGGTCATGTCGTGTCCTTGTATGCAGGAATATTATGTAGTGTTCGTCTATCGTTTGCTGTCTCCCAACCTTGACCAGCTAGCTTCATTACGTATGATATTTCATTTTCCAACCCTGAACGCCAAATAACCCGACTGATACCCCTTGCCTCCAACGTCAAGATCCCGAACTCATTCCAGCAACATTATAGGACCTTCGGACATGAAGCGTCAACCGAGAGAAGCCCATCCCCAATAGCATTTGTCGTGTCTGTATCGCGAATACCGGAGGGTCCGGTTCTAAGATACGGACAAACTGTCGAACCCATCGGCTATCGAGTTGTCGAGAGTTGTACGAAGACATGGTGTTGATGTTGTCCCCGGTCTGCCAGCCCCAATTTGTTGATCGGTACTTGCTCGCGTATCATATCCCTCTACTTCCCCGTTACCAGAGAAAAATGGATATAGCCAACCCGATAGCCTCAAGTTCTCGTCGTGACAACTCCCCTCCCACCTGCCATTACCGACGCCACTACCACCAATCGCCCCACCCAGACACAACACAACTCTCGCCGCTTCAGAGAGAGCATCAGCGCCTCAATCGGCAGGCCTTATCTGTCCCCCATCTTTCTCGTCCGATGATGGGTATTTAGAGTTCCCTAACAATCCCCATCGTAGCATCCGCCGCCCTGCCCAATGCTTCGACAGTCTTCTCCGATCCTAGCAATGCGCTCTTGGTAACGGTCACGGCGTTGTGAACGACGTCGAGAAGCGAGTCCTGGGCGTCGCCGTGCATGTAGAACCAGGCGCGGCGGGCGATAAATTGCACGTGATGCGGAAGGTAGAGGAAGGTGGCGATGAAGGTGAGAGAGACGAGGAGGAAGAGGACAGAGTCTGTTTTGTTTGGAGCAGGATTGTTATTCATTAGCTTTTAATGGAAAGAAAAGATGGGATGATTGTGAATGGTGAGGAGGAGACCAAAGAGGGCCAGGGAAGGAAGGCAAAAGAGGGAAACATACAAAAGATGAACTTCTCAATAGGCGTAAAGATGTACACGCTCATGGTAACCTCAAGCTGGTAAATCTTGAGCTTGAACCACTTGCTGAAGGCCTCGAGGTAGGAAGACATGATGGGCGGGAGTCTGTGTCCGGTGTCTGGTGTCTTGGTGTACGTGTGTGTGTGTGTATGTTTGTTTACTCGGAAAAGGCGGGAATCGAGAAAGAACCGTTGCGGTTTTGCGATCGTTCGATGCCGAGTAATTCGATGGGATTTGAGTTTGCGACAGGCAACACGCGATGCGATGGGAAAGGCGGTAACAGACGAATTACAAAAAGTCCAGAGTTAATCAAAGCCGGTCAAGGTCAGCGAAGAATTCCGATAAAACGAAGACGAATGATATCGCGCAGGAAAAAAAAAAAAAAAAAAGGCAATGAAGGAAGCGGCAAGGTCAGGAGGAATCCCGTCGAAATAGTTTGTTCACTGGCAAAAGGGGTTCTCGAATCGGATGTTTCCGTCGAGAGACGGATTCCTAAAATCCGCCGTTTTGTTTCAGTCGCAACTATTCACCCACTGGCCGCCGCACGGCTGGGGAGTCGCGAACCACTGCCCTGCGCTCCCTGCGTGCCAACGATAGGGCGCCGACGGGCGGAACCGGGGAACTTTCTGTCACCGCCTGCAAGGCCCAGAGCACCCGACCAATCTTTCAGTGCCACTGCCTTTGTGCCAATTGTGCAGTTCCGCTTGCATCGAAGCAACATTCAGTGTCTGCCCGGAACCCCGGAACTGCCCTCAATCGAAGAGCCCAGAGCGACCTAACGACAACAACAACAACCCCCCTACGTAGCGGCCTACGTACGTAGTGTAGTCAGCATCCGCGCCTTCCATGCTCGGGCTCTCTCATCCGATGCTGAGCCCCTGAAATTAGCGTCGTGCAAAATCTTATCGGTCCCTTATCATTGGACAGCACCCGCCGCGACTGTCTTGACCGAAAGCCCCACCATGTCGGTACGAGTGACCGCAACCGCTGCCTGCCGGCCCCGACGAACCGCGCTGGACCCGCGGTGCAAATGCCAGCCGGATGCGACCATGCCTTGGCCGTGGCTCCGTTCCGTCATCATCATCATGATTCCCGTCCCCGTCGTTGACAGTCTTCGGCTCCGGATTCGGATGACATGAAGACGACAACACTTCGCCTACACCCGGTACCTTCGCTTTCAGCCCTTTTCACAGGAGCAGTAGGTCGAATCCTGAAATATGGTGGCCTACCGTTTCTCTTGGGCTCGGGAGGAGGACGACGGCCGGTGATCGCAACATCCGCGAGCGCTGTTGCAGCAGTAGCAGCAGCAGCAGCAGCAGCAGCAGCAGCAGCAGCACCGTTCACCACCAGCACTCCATCATGGCTCAAAGCGTGGCAAATGCCTCCCCGCCCTAAACTCCCCGAGGACGAGTTGGAAGAGGTTTACCTCAAGGGTAGTGGTCCCGGTGGACAAAAGATTGTACGTTCCTCCCCTCGTCCTCTTTCTACCCCGACTGCCCAACTGCCCTCCTACACCCCAGTTACTTACCCTCCGTTTTTTCCCCTTCAACAGAACAAAACCAACAGCGCTGTTCAACTCCGGCATATCCCCACCAACATCGTCATCAAATGCCAAGAGACGCGCTCGCGCACGCAAAATCGCAAGCTGGCCCGGGAGATCCTCGCCGCCAAGGTCGATTTGTTTCTCAACGGGGACAAGAGTCGCTTGGCGATTGTGGGAAACGTCAAGAAGAAGAAGGCAGATAGTAAGGCGAAAAAGGCGAGAAGGAAGTACAAAAAGTTGGAGGAGGAAAAGGCCAAGGGTGGTGTTGGTCAGCAGTTGGTGGAGGGGGCAGAGGGGGCAGAGGTTGAGGGAGAGGATGAAGGTGAAGAGCTGGAAGGATACGAAGAAGAGGAGGTACAAGAAGGAAAAGAGGCTGAAAATGGAGAAAAGGCCGAGAAGCACGGAGGGAACAACGCGGATGGCGGTAGACAATGAAGATACCCATGGTGTCAGCGAAAAGCCATCTGTGGTTTCTGCCACTGGTTTGCAATCCTGGCCATGTTTGATCATAAGGAAACGGCTGCTTGTTACTCGGTTCTAGAAGCGGTGAGGATCGCTTGGATTCGGTAGGTATGGCCGCCTCCCCTTCAAGTCAATAAGACATTACGGTGGATCCGATACCTTGACGGCTAGCAAATCCCCTTTTCTCCTTGGCTTGCACGTATCTCACGACCAACGAAAGGGCAGCTGAAGGTGCTAAGAAATACAGAACGCTGTTTGAATTTTGATGATCTCTTCATCCACGATAACCTCGAATTTCCCAGTGGTGACTAAATCTTGCTGCTAAAAGTGTAGTAAATAGAGAAAGGGTGTTGGCAAGATCAAGAAGCCCGCATACTTGACCGCGCCTATCCCACGCATTCGCAGCCGTCGCCGCCCACCCAGAAAACAGAAAAAAAAAGGCCATTATTTATGTCTTCTAGTAGAGAAAAGAGACGCCAACCCCCTTCTGACCACGCTCGCTACTTTTTGTATAAGAGAGACCTGTGCAGAATACACGCGCAATGCAGACATGCTACTTGACGCAGATAGGGGTGTTATGTCCCCAGTTGGCGCTGGCTCGTGACAGTCGTGGATTTGTCCATTTATTGAACTACATACATGGTGTAAGCCGACGACGCTCCGCTTCCAACTGCAACAACCACCTCTCAAGGGCACCCACTTTAGAAGCACTTGCGGTGCACGATCGAGGGACCGCTCTCGTCGTACTCCTGCTTGGAGATCCACATCTGCTGGAAGGTCGAGAGCGAGGCGAGAATGGAACCACCGATCCAGACGGAGTACTTGCGCTCGGGAGGAGCAATGATCTTGACCTTCATGGAAGAAGGAGCAAGAGCAGTGATCTCCTTCTGCATACGGTCGGAGAGACCAGGGTACATGGTGGTACCACCAGACTAGTGACGATTCTGTTAGCGGACCTAGCCTATACTGCCATCTCCACAGCGAACGGGGACTTACCATGACAATGTTGCCATAGAGATCCTTCCTGACGTCGACATCGCACTTCATGATGGAGTTGAAAGTGGTGACGTGGATACCGCCAGATTCGAGACCAAGGACGGAAGGCTGGAAGAGAGCCTCAGGGGCACGGAAACGCTCGTTGCCGATGGTGATGACCTGACCGTCGGGAAGCTCGTAGGACTTCTCGAGAGAAGAGCTCTGGGCAGCGGTCTGAATCTCCTGCTCGAAGTCGAGAGCGACGTAGCAGAGCTTCTCCTTGATGTCACGAACGATTTCGCGCTCGGCGGTGGTGGAGAAGGTGTAACCACGCTCAGCGAGAATCTTCATGAGGTAGTCGGTAAGATCACGGCCAGCCATGTCAACACGGGCAATGGCGTGGGGAAGGGCGAAACCCTCGTAGATGGGGACGACGTGAGTGACACCGTCACCGGAGTCGAGGACGATACCGGTGGTACGACCGGAGGCGTAGAGAGAAAGGACGGCCTGGATGGAGACGTAGAAGGCGGGGGCGTTGAAAGTCTCGAAAACGATCTGTGTCATCTTCTCACGGTTGGACTTGGGGTTGATGGGAGCCTCGGTAAGAAGGACGGGGTGCTCCTCGGGGGCGACACGGAGCTCGTTGTAGAAGGTGTGATGCCAAATCTTCTCCATGTCGTCCCAGTTGGTAACGACACCGTGCTCGATGGGGTACCTGAGAGTAAGGATACCACGCTTGGACTGAGCCTCATCACCGACATACGAGTCCTTCTGACCCATACCGATCATGATGCTGGCATGTTGTCAGTTTTTGCTAAACGTCTTGGAGTGTTGCGCGCATTGGGACGCTGGGGAGAAAGTGGCATGCATACCCATGATGACGGGGACGACCGACGATGGAAGCTATCGCGACATGTTAGCATGGCTGGGACGTTGGGTCTTGGCGGGGAGGCAAGTAGCTCTGCTGACACGTTGCCCGTCTCAAGCAGCAGCGCCTCGCGGGAATAGTGGGAACACTTACGGAAAACAGCTCTGGGGGCGTCATCACCGGCGAAACCGGCCTTGCACATACCCGAACTGGGCGGTTGTTAGCTTCTGTCCATCATCATTGTTCACCATGTAGAGCGGGCTATGGGGGGGCCGCGAGACGTCGATTGCGGGAGGAATATAACGCTTCTCCTAGGAGTCGGTGAGGCGCAGGCGAAAAGGAGGGGAAAGCTTACCCATTGTCGATGACGAGGGCGGCAACTTCTTCTGTTGGCGGGAACGCATGAATCAGCTTGTGCCCATGATAACCAGGAGAGGGAGATGGTGATGGTCAAAGTCCGATCCGCCGGCGACCAGCTCGCCAGCGCGGGCAGACTGGGCAGGAATGTGGACATGTTGTTACGTACCCTCCATTGTGATAGATTAGGTGGTGACGAAAAGTGTCGGATTAAGCAAAAGGTACAGAAGAAGAGTTATTAAATACGCTCGACGATTCCCGGATCGATGGAGCGATGATGATTTGGCTGAGAGAGGTGTTGCCGAAGGACGCAGAGACGTTGTTTGGGCAAAAATTTGGATGTTGTTCGGTAGGCGGAAGAGTTGGAAAAGGGGAGGTGAATTTAAGGTCAGCTTTGGGAGTACGAGGCGGCGGGTGGATTGAGGGGGGTAAAGGTAGGGGAGGTAAGGGGATGGGATTGCTGTGGTGCCAGGTGCGAGGGAACGGATGGCGGACTGGGGGGGGGGGAGGGGAGGGGACGGTTGATTGGGGACGGGACTGGGCCGGGACTGTCTGCACTGGGCATTGCTGGCTGCTAGGTTGGTTGGACTGGGCCTGGTCACCTCACGGCGTGGTTGTGGGACTTGGCGGCGGCGGAGGAGGACGGGAGGAGGAAGGAAAGGCGGGCAAGGACGACACCGATGTCACTGAGTGGTACTGACACTGCCCGGCCGACTTCCAGGTCCCAACAAGCATTCATTCCTCGCCGGGCTGCTGCGCTGCCTGCACTCCAGGTTGCCCGGTTCACGACGGGATGGATCACCACAGTATGGTAGACTACAAACCTAGAGGTAACTGCGCTGCCTTCTTCCCAGGCCGTCCCCTCTCCCTCGCTGTTCGCTTTCCACACCTCTACTCTACATCATCAAATCACTGGCCGCACCGCCCCCTTGCCCTCTGGCATCTTCGTGGACAAGTTGTCAAGTCGCAGTATCATGCCTGATTCGAGGTGGCTCAAGGTGGATTCCTGAGTGGCCTGCGATCCGTCTGGAAAGTGGGTAGGAGACACCGCCTAATTTTGGGAGGGCAAAGGGGATCTTCCTGCCGCCAACACACTTTGGGAGGCTTCCGCACCTCGGAGGCGACGTCTAGGTTGACATGCCCGTCTGGCGACTGGCAGCCCGTTCAAGATCCCCTTAGTTTGATTCCAGTCTAACTATGTACATACGCGACGACTTGTATACTATGTAAAGGTATCATATCGCAGCCCGGCCGGGGTCGTCACCGCTGCGTGCCGTTCGACGGGTGCAGCTAGACAGACGGTTCAGTTGTACGTAGCGTAGCTAAGGTAGTGAGCACGGTGGGAGCGTGGTGCGTGGCTGGGTCCGCCCCCGACGTTGTGTCAGCGTTCAGTCTTCTTCAACCTAATGTCCCTCCCCTGCGTCGTTGCCGTCGTACCTGGTCGCTGTCCCTTGTCGTACCCCGTTCATTACTTGTTTATTACTCCTCCTGGAGAACCGCGATTGCAATTCCAGAAGATCCAATGTCTTCTTTACCGTCTCTTCTGTTGGAGCCTGGCTGATCACGATCTCTTGGAGCTTGTCCGGATCGCAATCCCCATGGCCCCGGGGCCCGAGTGTCTTGAAGGCTCCATGGCCGCCCCGGTCCGGGATCCGACGGAGATAGCTATGTAGCCTACGGTATGCACTTGGGTCCATACGGTACGGGGACCTCCAGCAGCGGTGTCATTTCCAAGGAAACGCCATCTCATTGGGGATGAGAACGAGGTATTGCCACAGTCCAACACCACCCACTTATTGGCGTCTGCTTCATCCCACCATCCACACAACCTTCACAGCCTGGAATTGGATTTTTTGTGTTTCGCTGCTCACGTTGGACCAAGTTTATAGCTGACGTATGCCCCATTAGGTATCCGGGAATTCTGCATTCCAAACAACAACAAAGACATGAGGCCGAGATACGCAACACTGATCATTATCTTGTTTTCGCCAAGCAGGCATCCCGTCTCCTTTCTTGAGCCTGACATGGACATCTAGTGCTCTCCTCCAGGCGCCCGCTATTTGTTCCCTGCGCCGCGCGATTGGCTTGCGTATGCATCGCACTTTAACATGTCAGCCTTGTCAGACGTTGAGACGGCATTCCCGGCAAGGATGATCACGATTCGCACTTTCAGTGATCTAAAAGGAGCATCAACATCGGCGGTTTTTAGTCTGTGTCTGGATTCATACACAAATCTACGAGAAACAGCCGCCAAGCGAGGCGACGAGTTCCGCACGCTCGGACATGGCGCGGCCGGTCCATTTGATCATCAATGCGTGTGTTCCAGCGCGGTGGGTATCGATGACTGTGGGCCAGGCAGTAGCATTGTGAGCGGGATTCCGTTTGACGACAACAAGCTCGAGTATACGTGGACGGCAGACAACACGCAACATCAAGGACCACTCCGGACCACCCCCCGCGTTCGACGTTGACGATATCAGAAGACTCTTCGAGCCCTTTTCAAATGTCAAGTGATGACGCTTTGGCCTTGAAGGGGCCATTCTCGAACACAACCTGAAGTCCTGCTGAACGCTCATGGTCAATGCGACCTTTTTCCAAACAGTCACCAGCCTTCTTGTTGACCCTTTCGTCGTCACTTTCAGGCAATCCTCCAGAACCAACACTCGAAATGTTGTGATCATTCAGGCAACTCAGGTCATGTCAGCCTAGGTGTCCCGTCGTCTGTTCGCCCTGTCGTAGTGGTTGTCTCCCCCGCAAGAGCGACGGACGGTTTGGAGCAACAAGGGAACGCCGAGGGGCTATACTAGGTGGGGCAGCGGCTGCCCACGCCCCACTATCCTCATCGTGCGTTCCATGACTTCCACTTGTGAAAGGGTGAGGAGGGGCGGCGCACAGATCATTCAGCTCAGGAAGCTACTTACTTGTATTAAAGCACATGAAGCTTGGACTTCATTTTGAACCCCTCCCCCCCCTTCTTCTGAACCAAGGTTAATAATGCCCATCTTCGTTTAAGCATTTCCTTCTGGAAGCTGAAATCATTCTCTTCTAGGGCTAGCTATGATTTCGGAAGAATGACCTAGCGAAAGCAGCCTTGCCTAATTCCAGATCCTCATAAGCAAGCGGCTCCACGTCTCATTCCTTTTTCAAATTGCCAGTCAGTAAACACGTGGGGAAGGCACTAAGCCTATTTTGGACCGAACTTTCGTGAAACCCGCAGAACAATCGAGATGGGGATTGGACGGCATTCGCATTATCGATAAGTCAGCCTTGCAGCTACCGCTATACTATTTGTATATGGCGGGGCGCAAACTACTAAAAACAAAAGTTGACTGATCAAGTCGTCATCATCATCATCATCATCATCTATAACCATCCATCCCACGAACTTCGAGGATCCTGTTGGACCTCTGAAACATTCTATTTGGTATCAAGTATCGACCGAGTCTCCCAAACAAACAGACCCAACGTCCAAGTGTCAACCCGCACTATTCCCGGCGCAAACCACCAGCAGACACGAGCAATCCAAGGCTAAATCAACAAAACCCCTACAAACAAAACAAACACACGTCCAAAATGGATAAGAACCTCAACCAGCTCCTAAAATGGAGCATTGAAGCTCAAACCGCTGCCAACGCTGGCCAATCTTACCACTCCAACGGCGCCCCCACCCCTAATAACAACTCCGGCCCCGCCACCGGCACCGGCGCCGTAGCCACCTCTCCCGCTCCTCAAGTCACCGGCTCCGGCCCCCGCCCCGTCGATCCCGAAGTCCTCGCCTCCCTCTTCGGCGGTCCTTCCGAAGCTGAGCTCATGAAAGCCGCCATGGAAGTGATCACCGACCCTTCTCCCGAGACCACGCGCGAAAACAAGTTGATTGCCTTTGACAACTTCGAGCAGCTGATTGAGAACCTGGACAACGCCAACCTTCTTGAGGAACTGTCTCTCTGGTCCCCCTTGATTTCCTTGCTGGATCACGAGGACGAGGATATGAGGTACCACGCTGCCTGGTGCCTGGGCACGGCGGTGCAAAACAACCAAAAGACTCAGGAACGGCTGTTGGCCATGGGCGGCGTGCCCAAGTTGGTGGATCTGGCGATGAAGGAGGGCGAGTCGGAGAAGGTGAGACGCAAGGCTACGTATGCGCTTAGCAGTGCGGTGAGGAATTATCAGCCGGCTATGGATGTCGCGGCGGACGAGATGCATAAGCGCGGTCATGAGGTTTTGGTGAACAACGGGACCAAGGTGGATGCGGCGGATATGGATAAGGTGGATGAGGTTATCGATGTTTTGAGAAACAAGGCCAAGTCTGCTTAGGGCTGTCTAAGGCGATGAGTGGGTCTGAGAGTTCGGGGTTACGATAGGAATGACCAACTGGAAGGAAAAACGGGTGTTGAAAGATATGGTCTCGGGTTTGGCATTGGAAAAGGCGTTTTGGGTTATTGTTTGAAAAGACTTGTTGATCAAGATGATGGCTGGGTTCTGTTGTCATGATACCTTGACCTGTTCTGTGCAAAGCTAGACTGGGATATGGATATGTGGTTATAGACTTGGGAGTTGTTTATGAAGCAGATACCCTTGACAATGTCCGTTACATAGCGGACGGAAAATAGTACACAATCCAGTTCACGCAATGATGACACCCCTCCAGTTGTTTTACGCATTTGTGATTTTACTTCTTTGATCTTTAACCGTCAAACCCAGTGGTATTTTTCCTCTTCCGTATCCTTCTCACGTCGTCTATGAGCTTCCTCCTCGTGATGTTGTTACAAAAGGTATATATACACCCAACATACATCGTTCTTATGTGGTTAGTGTATTCGTATTGTACAAGTTTCACACATCTCCTCATCCTCCTCAATCGTCATCCAACAACTATCATGATGCGAGATGCTACTCGTTCATCATCGTCTTCATTTCTCTTCCTTAGATCTCGTCCCTTGCTCAACCTCTCACGACCAACAGCCCATTTGGCGCTTAGTTGCTGTAGAAAGGAACGCCGAGGGACTGGAGCAGAAGCTTAGCCTGCCTGTCGGAGGTGGCTGTCGTCTTGATGGCGATGTGGCAACCGGGAATCATCTTGGCGGGGTACATCTAGAGAAAGTAGAAAGTCAGTAATCTGTCGTCAAGACCAAGAAAACAAGAAGAAGAAGCAGACGGTAGGGCCAGAGCCGGAGCCAGAGCCAGAACCAGAACTCTCCCTACTCTAGCTTCGGCTCCGGCTCCAACTCCAACTTCCGCTCCTGTATCCTCTCTCATCTCCCCCATCATTTCCCAAGAAACAAACTCACATCATAGTTGCACTCCACCTCCGGGAACAGCTGGACATCCTCCGGATTCAAACCAAACTGCACATTACCACTTCCATCACCCGTACTCGCCGGCACACCCTTCCAATCCTTGATCCTGGGAAGAACCAAATGGATCAACCGATCCATAAACTCCCACGCCGCGTTTCCGTAAATCGTCGTCTTGCAACCAGCCGGTTTGTTCGCCTGCAGCT